CCATGTGTAATGCGCGTGCGTGGCCCCAACAATGTTGGAAGAGCTGTGCAAACGGATCCACCATTGTTGCGCTGTGCTTCGGCGATCACGGAACAAAAGAAATGTTGGGAGTTGTTGGCTCGAAAGTTTGACCGGATTCAATCTTTGCGCAACAACCTACAACAACATGCAAAACGGACGCAACATGTAACATCCAACAAGATTGTGAGTTGTTGGCTAACAATGTCACGTCCGTTTTTACGGGGCTTAAGTGTGGTACAGTGGAACCCGGCCAACCCACCGCCCGTTAATATCACCACTCTTTTCTTGGTCTCGTTTCTCGAAAGCCCCGTGAAAAAACAGGCAAGAAAAGGTGTTTGAAAACCATGACTTTTTAGCACAATATGACATGAACTGCTGATTTCCGTAGTAGGAACATTTTTAAGTATTCATGCCGAAACAGATTCCTCTATACTACCTGATTTTGCTGAGGGTATAATATAATCATAGAGCTTGCCAAACTTGCTGTTTACTTCGCTTTAGTATTTTCCCCTGACCTTAAGAAAGCGTCTGAGGTTTAGGAAAGTTTTAAAGAAGACTCACCTCCTTACTTGGTACCGCTATAGGAGTACCTTCCTTCACAACACCAGCTTCAACTGACACACCCATAACAATCGGACCTCGCGAGTTAAAGATGTGTTGAGGAAGGATTCGAAGCTTGCAAGGAAATACTGCAATGTGTTTGAATTCTTCACGTTTCTTTTGCTTCAATTCCTAGGGAAAGAAATTCATTTGTTGATCAAGTGATCGGTATCAACTGCCCAGGTGCGCCACGGATTACGACCTGGCAAACCCAGTGCGAGACAAGCACCTGGCTAAAGGGGTGAAGCTTCACTGGGCGTAGCCTCTTAAGCAAGCGTTCTTTGTGTCGTCAAGCGACGTCTTATCGTGCGGAGAGGAGTGTTTATTTTATTTTATTTATTTGTTTGTTTAGTCACTCACAGAACATAACATAACATTGAAACATTGGATAAAAGGTGTTGATTAAATTACAAGTTAATGTGACAAGAAAACCTAAGGACGCTGCGAGCTTACATCAATAGGCTTACTTATTACCTGCTTGAGTGCACAGAAAACATAAAACTTAAGCGACAGAACGACTATCAATGACAAACAATTATATGAGGTATGGGGGATGTTATTGTAAATATATCTGAAAATCAGTTTCTATTCTAATTTAAGGGAGGGGCACAGGTTTGTCAGTATTGTACTACAAAGCGCTACCTTCTTTGAATAAAGTTGTTATTATTTTTATCATCGTCATCATCATCGTCATCATCATCATCATCGTCATCAAAAGACCTTATTCACGATACCCGCCATCTTTGCACGCGCTTAAGCACCGATGGAATAAAAGCGATGCCATATGGTTTCTCATGAGGCAAACAAGTGAAAAAATCTGCCAGTACAAGAAAACGCGGTCGAGTTCGTTTATTCTACACAATGAAAAAACAATTGCAAATTATGGGTGAAATTATCTTTTTTGGACGCAGTAGCGACCCTAGATGTCCTTAGAGCAAGCGAGAAAAGACGTAAAACTTCTAAAAACTCGAGCTGTAAATTTTACATGAACAACATAGTTGTCTCGTTTTGAAAGAATAAACAAACTCGACCGCGATTGCTCGTATTGCCCGTAAGTTTCATCACTTGTTTACCCCCTGAAATACCACGTGACATTGCTTTCATTCCATTTATCCTAGAGCGTGTGCTAAGATGGATAAGGTCAATTTGAAACCTTAGTACTTACATCCCTATAAGCAGTGAATTTGTCAAACAAGTGATAGATGATGTCGGCAGAGAAGATTTTCACACCCAAATTGTCGGCCATCTCTTGCGCTTCTCTCTCTATCCGCACATCAAAGGCCAGAATAACGGCATATCTAGAATGAAACACAAGTATCGTTAAGGCAAAGTTAAGGTTGCTTTCCACCAAAATTAAACTGTGTGGCTGGGAGAATTAATGGGCGAATGCCGCGCCCCTTGCGAAAATCCCTCGCGCCTCTCCCGCGAAGAAAGTACCCCACGCAGAAAAATACTGCTAGCTACGCAGGCTACACAATAACACGTTAGCGACGTCTACGGAAATCGGTCATTTCGCCCCCAAGTCATTTCGCCCAGGTTACTTAGCCCCCTATTTTCGAGTCATTTAGCGCACTTCAAATGTAACGTTTCTCGTTCTAGAATCCGTGAAGCAAAACAAGCATGCGTCAAACGTAATTTTCCTCGTTTTTTAAGCCATAAACCGAAACAAGCAAACTTCAAATATAATATTCCTCGTTCTAAAATAGGGGGCTAAGTAACCGGGGCGAAATGACCTTAAAGCTACATTAGCGTACAAGTGGCCAGTAGAGGACTTTGGAGTTTTACTCCAGATAAGTGCACAAAACTTCCTTTCTCTCTGGTCACTGCGAACCTATCTGGATGAGACGCACTACACTTAAAAGGCGCTCTTGCCTTCTGTCAAACCAATACTCTATGTTCGCTCTTAAACAAACCGTGGATCCAAACATAAAATTATTGCTACGTAAAAACATCAACAAACAATTTTAATCCGGGTTCGTTTCAACGAACCTACAGAAAAAAATGCGCAAAGAAACAAGTCCGCCTCCTCGCGAGCCTTTGTGAACATTAATACATTATTACGAGATTTCTTTACTTAAAAATGCTTCTTTAGTCTTGAGTCTTTGATTCCACGGAAACTGGACTATTCTTTGACTTGAATGTGGGATACAAAGAAGACAAAGCAAAATGAAAACTTAGAACTTACTGTCCGTCATGTTCCAACATGGTGGAACACTTCATGATGTCCTTTTTATGAACTGGACCAATATTAACTCCAGAGTACTGTTAAATAGAGCAAACACATCGTAAGACAGGCAGGGCCACAACAGCTGAATACAAAACTCATACAGAGAGTTCTTAACCTTTCCCATACCCAGAGTGTTAAACCTCACAGCTGAAAAAAAAAACTCCTACACGTTTCATTTTCTAAAACATCGCTAAACATTGCACTGTGATAGAAAACCGAGATAGAAAAGTTTTGACTTGAATGGGAACACAACAGGATTAACAACCTCAGCCCTGGGCACGAGGATGCTGCATTTAGATAAAGCTATGGAGGCAACGTGGCCGAGTTGTCAACGCGGCGGACTCGCAATCCGGCGGTCCCGGGTTCGAATCCCGCTCTGGTCAATTGCTGGATTAGCTGGATAAGCTAAGTGCACTCTCTAATATAAAAACTATTAAAAAAAACCTTTAACTTTTTGAACTTTTATGACTCTAAGTGAAAGCGTTAAAATTTATAAATTTCTCATTCCAGGGTCTTCTTTCTGGGAAATTAATTGACTCAACGGGATAGACTAATGGTAATATGAAACTATGAGATGCAAAGAATACTGTACTCACAGGAATTTTCTCAGTGCGCAGAAACTCAAGCAGGGCTTCTAGAGATCCCAGAGTAGAGGCCTGTACGTACACACCCCGGTCAGACAGCTTGATAGACTGCAGTGTGTCACGGAGAAAGCTTGACACTTCGTTCTGTTGAGAGGCAAGAGCAACATAAACACCGTTACAGTGATAGACACCTCACTGGTAGAGAGAGTTGCGCGAGATACCACAGTATTGAAGAGGACAAGTGTTAGTACAGGGGTAAACACAGACCACAGGAGGTTATGGCAGCGACTGCCAAATGGTTGAAAAGTCAATTGGGGTTCAGCGTTAATGTAATTTCGCGTGGTAGAGAAAGAGAAAATCAGCCGCGCGACGGGCGAGTGAGAACGCGAGGGGCACATTTCGCGTTTTCACGCATGCACCCAAAGTTTTCCATTTCTCCTTCTTTTCAAGATAGATGGACGCTCTATTACCTTACAACTTCAAGCCAAATGCTGAATTGAGTTAAGATTTAAATTTGATTAGAAAGGAAAATGAATCATGAAGTCTGAATAAAAAAGATGAGTCAATGTAAAAAAGTTGAGATAAAAACTGCTCCAAATCGAATAATAAGCTATAAAAACATGGCTTGTTCTTGTATCTTTTCGTTTTGCATCTCGGTATGATAATAGTTCTCTGCCTTCGTAGTGAATACTTGAGTATACGTATATCCGGGAGTTATTTGCGGAGACTGTGTGTTGAGTTTGCGCAGATCTCGTGGAACAGGTTGGCACCAATTGAAAATATGATTGGGCCGAGTTTACTTCTGGGACTGTTACTAGGATCAAGTAAAAAAAAAATGACCAATAGCTGACCGGCGCGTTTCCAGTAACGATCCCAAAAAAAATGCGGGACGCATTTCGGCTCCAGTTCACCTCTCGTTTCAAAAGTGGCAAATTGCTTTCCAGCTCCCTCGCTGCCCGAGATAGACAATGTGCATAGCACGTTTATGAAGTTTTACTAAATCTTTACTAAGACTACTAGACAGAGCGCCTGTCACTCAAGCTACGTTACTGGCTTGCAAGAAAATGTCCGTTGAACTTTACGTAGATGATTACGGCCGTCGTGAGGATGTCCAGGTGTACATAGAAAGTTTAACGGAATAGAAAAGAACTCGAATGTCCTTTGAAAACGTTCAAACAAAGAGGAAGAAAAAGAAGAGATTCACCCTACTGACCTTGAAATAGTCTACCTCGTCTTGTTGTTGAGCAGCATACAATGGAATTCCAGCGAGCGCCTTTTCCAAGTCCTTCGCAGCTATCTTGACTCCTTGGGCCCCGCAGAGCTCCTTGTGATTAATATACTGGTTCTTGACTCTGAGTTCCTTCAGGGGCTGAGGCGTGAGAAGGGCCCTTATCTGAGTCACAATAGGGCCCTCAATTCCTGCCACAATTATTGTGTCCCCTTCTTTTAGCTTCCCATTAACGAGGATTACGTCTATTGTTGTACCCAAGCCTGGTAAGGCTTTTACCTGAAATAAAAATTTAAGTAATGTCATGGATGGTTTTACATGCAGTGTAAAGACGCAAAAAGCAAAGGAAAAACCGTAAACCGCGGACATGTGATTTCAGTTTACTCATCAAAATAGAAAATATAAGTATCTAATCGTTTGACGTTGACGGAATTCGCACACCTGTCCATCCTTATTTACGACGCAAGCTGCAACCCAATTCAAAGAGAGTATGATATCTGTTGTGAAAAACGTACTGCACTAGCTATTGTGACATCAGAAGTGCAGCAACAAGAACCGCCATTTTGACCCCTTGCTCTGATAGTCAAACATCGCACGTGAAACTACGGGCGCCTAGCAGAAGTCAACTAAACTAGCCCGCCGTACTGAGGTAATTTTGAAAATAAAATACAGTCAACTCTCTCTAAGACGGAGACCTTCGGGACCGGCCCTGACTATCCGTCGTGGAGAGGTGTCCGGTTTATAGAAAGCCGAAGGAACGTGACATCAGTAATTTTAGGGCTGAAAATATTTGCAATGAATACACGTCTGTTTAACTTGTACAAAACAACTAAAATTGGAACATAGTAACAGAGAAGTGGAATTATTTTCTTATCGTGCAATCAGAAGTTCATTCCAAGCAAACGTTCACGGCTTGGCGGGGTAACAGTATGCACTCTTCCAACTGGAGCAAGACTACAAAATATCTAACATTATGCAATAAATTTACTGTCATGTAGAACACCTGCATTTCCGTTTTAAGGTATATTTTTCACTACATTATCATGAAGCACTTCCCAATTGTCTGTTGACAGCTTCAAAGGTATCCGTTGTCCGTCTTTGAGAGGTTTCCGTCTTAAAGAGAGCATATTTGCAGTAAAATGACTGAAAAACGGCAGTGACTAACACTTCTCCTTACGACTTATACTGATCTGGCAGACTATCCAGGCCAGTTCCGACAAATGGTAATCGTCCAACGATCGTGCAAAGGATTGGGTTGGAAACTCACTCCTTATAAGGATGTTTCCGCCTTCCAAATTTGTCGTAACTCCACATGATATCGATATGGCGAGACAACTGAATAGAGACCTTTTAGAACGACTTCGAGGACAAGGTTTCAACGAAAGTTTTTTTTGCGTATTCTCAAAAAAAGACACCCCTACTTTTTATTCACCAGAAACGTTAGCGCTGTTGTCTTTATTAAAGGAGGTTTAGCCCTGTCCCGACTGCAAAATCAAAATGATAGAATTTCTAACATTTGATAACTTGCTTCCCCCACTACGACATTCTCGCTAAAACTCGTAGTAGAATGACGACGACGAACACGTTTTCCCGCCAAAATGACGCTGGTTCACTACGCGCGCACTACTTAGTATTGAAAAAATCTCGTCCTCGAAGACGTTCTCGTTTTTGAATCTAAAGCTCTCTAATTAAAACTACTCAATATCTCACCTCTAGTACCATGCTCTCCAGTTCTTCAGAAAATGACAGTCTCTGAGCCAGTTTTGTTTGAGTCAGCCTTACGACTTGAGATATGAGGTCTCCCATTCCGTCTCCTGTGTGAGCAGAGGTGGGGACTAAAGACACGTAAGTCCTCGGGTCTGGATTGTTGTAGAACAATGCTGCGTTCAGCGCCTGGGGAAAAACAATCCTTATTTATCGGTAACAGTTGTTCGACTGTAGTTAGAAGGCGATTTAAAACAGTTTTAAGGCGATTGTCCCTTCTTGGACCCTTCAGTCCGATTTTTTCTTCTTTAGTAAAATCACCGGATATAAATCAAAAGGCTTTCGGAGAGAAACGAAGCAAGGTGGCGGAAATACGAAAGGAATTATTGTTTTACAAGACAAATAAAACCCCAAGAAATTGCGGTCGCTCTTTTCTTCTTTCATATGGCCTTTTCTATGGTCTTTTTCATGTTTTCTATGACCAGTCTACTGACTTTGTGGCTCAAACAGAACGCTGTATTAGTGATTGTGCTACAGGAACATTTATTTTCGGGACTTTCCATGATTCACACTCAAATTCTCCTACTTTTAGACCTGACAAATACCATTTTAAACTCCCTTAGTTTCTGTACGGGCCCCGAACGACCGAGAGGTTTGACCGGACAAATCGCCTATACAGGAAGTTGCATATTCACTCACCTGTTCAGAAAACTCTTTCAAAACTACTTGAACTCGTTCATCGAACTCTTGCTTTGTGTTCCGCTTTTGCTTCTTAACAGTATCCACAATACCTGAATTGGGGCCTCGCTTCCACTCGAACAACCTGTCCACCTTTAAAACCGGCACAGTGTAAATTAAATCCAGAAGCCAGAGGCACATAAATGTCGGGGCGGACGTAGTAGTTTATATCTGAGGTTAGGTTAAGAATCGAGGGTGCACGGATGCCTACATGACTGCTCTTGAAAAGAGTACATTAATGTGAAATGCTGCTTGAAAACTAGCAGTATAATCGCAGGTTAATAAAAAACGTTAAAGATTCCAATTCGTGCGTGACATTTCATGATTTTCAGGTAAGGCAGAACGAATGAGATGTCACATGTTTTTCGTGGAAACGAGGCAAATAGCTTGCAAGAAAAACGAGGTCAATGAAAGAAAATGGCCAATATTCTGACGAAATTTTTTTTTACCATACGATAACTAGGAAACACTGCATTAACAGACTAAGAACAGTCTAAGAACAGTCCTGACAGTCCTGATAGGCACTATGACGTTAAGGCCTGTCTAATACAGTTTGAGAATCACCATCATATTTCGTATAACGGCATGTTTCATTCGCCACTTTACAAACGAGGACACCGGGCCAAGTTAACTTTTGCAAAGACTTTTTGGACTGTTACTAGGGAGAGGGAAAATATCAGCCAATAGAGAGGAGAAGTTTTGAGAATTTTTTTCCAGAAATTTTGCTACCATGGTAACGTAACGTCAAACTTCTCCTCTCTATAGCTGACCTGCGCGTCCCCGGTAACGATCCCAAAAACAATTGCGGGGCACATTTCGGTTCCAGTTCCCTTCTCGTCTTTAAAGTGGCGAAAACGGGTCAACGAAGTGACTGCAAATTACTTTTTTTTTGTTTTCTTTACTTAAGTATAAAAGATTGACTAACTTCGAGAAAACAGCCACTTGATGGTTACAAAATGGAAGAAAAAAGCAAACCTTATTCAGTGCCACTATAAACGGCGTCTTTTTCTTCTTCAGCAGATTGATAGATTCGATAGTTTGTGGCTCTAATCCATGCATAATATCGACCACTAAGACTGCCATATCACACAAGCTTGAGCCTCGGGAACGGAGGTTACTGAAAGACACAACACAGTCAGTTACCGGCTTAACGGGGTTATATCACATTATCTGCTATCTTTTAGAAAAGCTTAAACGTGTCTTCGCGAACATCAATTGGATTCCAAAACTAATAGTCCAGTTTTGTTATTTAAGACTATATTTAGGCTTTAAAGCTGTTTCCTTTCCTCTGTTATTAGGGATGGCAAGGATGGACTTGGATTGAAACTTGAGAAAAAGTTGGGCTAACTTATTCAAGTTTTAACCCTTTAAGTCCCACAAGTGACTGACCAATATCAATATTCTCCTCACAATATCAATACATAATCAAGAGAAAAGGTTATGAGAATTAATAAAATGATCACCTAAAGGAAAATGTTTTGATCTTTGAACAAATTCTCTCAACTAATTCTTTAAGGAAATGTATGGAGATCAGTTTGGAGAATTTGTATGTGGATATTGGAGCTTAAAAGGTTAATGCTATGCCTGGAAAAGTCACCCAAAAATGTTATGGTCAGAGCTCTCTGGTGGAATTTGTTTGATATTTTCTTGATAACTCTAAAGGAGCACTTTGTGTGTGGGTAAAGGAAGTAGGTAATAACTTTAGCACAGAATTGGCAACAGTCCACGTTCAAAGTATGGCAATGAATTGAACAAAGGTAATGGTCCACCTAACTACGCTGATTTACTCAATTACTGACCTGAAAGATTCGTGTCCAGGAGTATCGATGATAAGTAGACCAGGAAGCTTGATGTCAAAATCTTGAAACTGAAATACGTATAACGAAATATAGAGTGAGGGTTGAAAACTTCGTTTTAGAAAATGTTGTCTGTTGACATTCATCGAAGAAATTGTGATAGAAGGAGAGTTAAAAAAGGAACAGAATTGTCATTATTCGCTGCTTCCCGAAAATCCAATCATAATTTTAGCTCTTCTCATTTACGTGTAAATTCGAAAAAATAAAAGGTTTATCTGGAGCTTACATCCTTGATCATCTTGGTCTGTTCTCTTATGGCGTCCACAGGCACCATAGTAGCTCCGATCTGCTGTGTAATACCACCAGCCTCCCCATCTTGCACGTTACTGTGACGGATCTGTAATACGACGAATGGTGCCGGTTAGAGCGATTCAGCTAAGGTCCCCGTTAATATGGAGCCGGAAAACTTGTCCCGAGTGGAGGATCACTCGCCTATCCGAGCTACCCTGGGGTATCCAACTTTTCCTGCATTTAATTTCCTTACAAAACTTGGCGAATCGTTTTCATAAGAAACAAAAAGTTGGCTCCGCGATTATATGGCTCCTTTAAAGCTAAAGAAATTTCGCAGTGCATGAAAGACCTTACCCTTTCATTTGCAATAGCTGGCAAACATTTTATTTGTTTCGGAAGTTTTTCTCGCTCAGTATCACGGATAACTTAGCCAAAGATCGAGTAACGAGTGAACGAAAACACAAAGAGAGCACGATAACACACGGTACAATAGCAAAAAAACTCTCACACAATCTCAAATATATGATTTATGTCTTTGACCCCGTTTTCGCATTCACCACGACCGCTGTGGTAATCCGTTACGGAGTGGAAACTGGATCACATAACAGTTACCTTATCTAAAATCTTTGTTTTTCCAGTATCCACGTGTCCCAGTACACAGATGACTGGAGATCGCAGATTGTCCGTGGATCGGTTAGCTTCCGCTCGTACTCGTCTTTTCTGAAAAACACGAAATATTTTGAGTTTACTTCATCCCCAAAATTTAAAGACCATTCCCTTTCCCCAGTTCCACACAGTTCCTGCCTCTACGGACGGACACTTGTAAAAAGCAGACGCTGGACCCTCCAACTTTGGTGTCGGTATAGGACAAACGCAAGATGACGTCATTTTACAACAACTACCAGAATCCTCCTCTTTGTTGTTTTTTTCTGCAAATTAGGGCTATTGCTTTTTAACCTCAGCGAGATTGGCAAATTTAATAAAGAAAGGAGAAACGAACTGAATTCTGGTAGTTGCAGTCAAATGTTGTCATCGTAAAAATGACATAAGAGCAGAGTTTTCCTTTGAGGCCGGAGGCCGGATGTTTCGTCCGGTCGTTTGCCATTCTATGTCCGGCACCGTGACTTTCATGCCCATATTTTAGGGGTTTTTTTAAATTTTTTTTTTATCATTATAATATTTGTTTTACTTAAGCAACTCATGAACTTACTGACTAGAGGATAACAGAATAAGCAATTAAATGTCTTTGCTGTTTGATTGTTTTCCCTTTTCATTTAAAAGAAATTGAAATGGCAAAGCTTACAACCTCAGTTACCTTATGTCTTTTTTGAAAATCAATAAAAAATAAATTCGCAATGATAAACAACTGAAAATTATGTTGCTGTCATTCTCCAACTGACTGTCCAATTTCTTTTAAAATTTTACTTTTTAAAGAGAATTTGAGTGAACTCCAGCCTTGCCTGGGAAACTGATTCTTGGGTTAAGAAACGATGGGAAACAGCGTTTCTAAATGTTCTATTTTAAAAATTTCCTGGGTGGATACCCCCTGACCCCCCTAGGTAGCTTGCGCCTTTGACGCTCGCAAGGCGCCCTGCACCGCCAAAAATTTCGCGTCCGGTGCTTTCAGAAGTATGTCTGTTACTTCAAAATCCTGTAAGAGGGTCTGGCTGAGAAATTAATACTGAGTTTTATAGTACCTGTATTCTTTCATAAACTGTTTCTGTCTTTTTGTCTTCCTCTTCAGATTCCTCCTCACTTTCACTTCCTTCCTCCTCATCTTCATCTTCTTCGTCCTCTGATTCGCTTTCCTCCTCGCTCTCATCACTTTCTTCTGACTCTCCTTCGCTTTCCGCTTTACCTTCTGCCAGTTCTTTGACTTCCACCTTCAGAAGAAAGTATTCTTTGAAACTCAGAAAACAACAGAAAATAACCTTTATCATTGTCATTTAATATTATTACTCAGTAAATGCTACTATCCTTGCCTTGAAAACTTATACTTTTATACTCTGAGGGAGCCCAATATTCATAAGCCTTATGGTTTCTTTTTGGGCTTCCTCACCACATTTATTTGCGTCTGTGTAATCCTGTATTCTTTTCCTTTGTTTTTATGTGGCTAAATATCATTTAGGCAAAGTTAAACTCGAGCGAGTTGGCCAGCAGTCTTCTCCCACTTCAGTATGTGACCTACGGGGCGGCCCGCGGGGAATTGCAGGGCTCCTTGTGTGCCCTTTTGCTAGTGTTGCTTTGCATTGTAGCTTTGCTTGCTGATCGTAGCGGATCATTTTTAGCCTTCTTGCGAATCATTGCGGATTCTTGCTGATAGTAGCGGATCAATGTTTGCCTTCTTGCGTATCATTGCGGATTCTTGCTCCCTCTCCTCCCTCCCTGCCTGGTGGTTTGGTAAGTATTTTCTCAGGTAAGTATTCTCTTAGGTAAGTATCTCAACTGAATTCATTCAGTGTGACGGTGCCGGTTAGTGGCTGCTCTTGGGGTGGTTCCCGCTTCCAGGGTTGCCATGGATACCTCCTCTCTGCTTATTGCATTTGGCCCCCCACTAACCTTTAAGGCACCAGCTCCCAAGCTCATCATTAGCGATGAGTTTAAGTGTTAAATAAAACTGAATTGAACCGAACTGGAATGCTGCTGTGTTCCAGGATAAATCAGGCATGAGAAAACTAAACTGCAAACAGCATTTCGATAAATTATATTAAAATTCATTCTTGGCTCCGAGGTTTGGGGGAATAAAACGAAAGAAATGTATTACTTATTACTGAGCCTCAAGACGATTTCGGAGCCAAGTATGAATTTTAATTCGGAATCGGTCTATTAATTTGCAGTTTTGAGGTTTACTTGCGTGTCCTAAACTTTACTATGATTGGTCAAAACACAATTGACTTTTCGAAGTTAAATCAAGCTGTTCATGGTTTGTTGACTTGCACAGTTAGAGTAACCAAATTTCAAACAATAATTATCGAAAAGCAAAAAGCCCATTTGCACGATGACGTGTTTTTACTACTAAGACCATAATTCATTTCGTTCTTCCTTTCATATTTAAATTCGGTAATCCCAGTGAGGTTTAAATAACAAACGCCCTACGCCCGGTTCCTTGAAAGATGGTTAAGTTTAACCCAGGATTAAGCCAAATTTCAAGCACAGTTTTCTCGTCTAAGAACAACTCGAGGTTACAAAAAATTTAATACTGTTGAGCCTTTACTACGAGATACAGTAATGATAACACAAAATGTTACCCTAAGCAATGCATAGGAATGTAAAATACGAGAACGGAAAAAAAATTTAATCCCGGATTAACGTTAATTGGCCTTTCAGGAACGGGGCCCTCATTTTCAAAAGAAAACAAAACCCTAAAGGATTCTGGTAGTAGCAGCAAAATAACGCAATCGTGCAAATGGCCTGTAGAGTAATGGGAAAACGAGGATTAAGTCACAATTACAATTTGTTTAGCTTGAGAAGGGAGAGCAGAAAGTCGAGAGGGGCATGTTACTAATGAAGAAATAACAGATTCATGTTCCAGTTAAACTAATAAAACGTGAGACAGCTACTAGTCAGAAACAAAATACATTTTGGACAACAGATAACACTTCAAGACTCTTAAAGTGTAAATTATTTGAGATATAAGATTTTACAAGCTGAAAGGTGGGGGGGCGGGCGTGAAGTGGGGTGGGGTTAGGGAGCTAGAGAAACATTTACCCTTGTAACAAAAGATAATGTGCCAAATAAATGTACACTAGAAATAACTGAAATTACAGTGCAACTTTGTATCAATTATTACTGTACCTTGACAGTATCTGGTGCTTTAATATCTGCAACGGATTGAGAGACAAATTTAAAGTAAGGCGTTTACACTGTATTTACCTGTAACACTTACACACAACCGATTCATTGCACGCTTCAGTAACTGGGTGATTTGACTCAAAAGTGAGATTATTATCTATTGACAGTTGAAATACAGTTAGATGTTATTTAGCCAAGGAAGCTGTCACGAAAGTAAGCAAAAATTGTCCTTTGAAATGACAGGGCACTGGTATGAAAAATCCAAAACTAGTGCATTATTTAGCCTCTTAACCTTAGCCCTTTTGTTTAAGTTTGCTTTCAACAAGGTCTACAAGAAAATAAGGATAGGGAAAGGCGGGCTTAACTGCAGATTACCCTGCCACTTTAAAGCAACCCCTAACGGATAGGTGGATAAGCAGATGCTCAGTCACTACATATCCGCGTATCCACTTTGTCACTACGCATCCATGTATCTGCCTATCCGCTTAGTAAATATCTTTTAAATAATAATCACTGCATACATGTATCCGCATATCCACTTTGATATACCCTTAAGACAGCATATAAAGCCAGTACAGTATGTCTATTTTGTCTTTCTTAAAACCACTGAAGGTAGAATGGCACATAAAGCGATAATTGTGTATCCACATATCCAGCTCTTTCAGGGATACAGCTTCGAAGTGGCAGGGTATTCTGTTGTAACTGAAAGCTGAGAATTATTACGTACGAAAAACAGTTTCAACCTTGAGAATTGGTTTCAACCCCTACAACTTTCCCTACCTGACTGGCTTGAATTCCTAGATCTGCCCGTGATAAACAAACCAGCAATAACATTTTTACATTTTTAATTAATAACACAGCAGACCTTGTGATTGAGTCTCAGGTTCATCATCAGAATCCACATCCCAAGAGTCCTTAACCTAACAAGAGAGCATTCTCATTGATGACGTTTGCACACAAAATTTCCAACTTCATGTAGGTGTGGGTGAAGGGGCCCCCCAGGGAGGGGGGTACTTGGGCTAATTCTTGATGGGTATGTGCCGCTAGCCTCTCAGAACCCCTACCCCATTATAGTCTATTGTGTAGCCAATTATAGACAACATCTTGGCCACTTTTGGGAAAATGTAATTTTCACTATCCCAACTTAGTCACATTTGTTAAACTTTACCTACCCGAATTTTCCGACCCCCAAAATCCTGAAAATGTGCAACCCCATTCTAGTAACTCCATTGAAAATGTAACCCCATCATAGTCAATCCAGCTGTGAAAAGGCGACCCCATCCAGTGGCACATTCACATTAGCCTATTACTAGGATGTAGTCCCCCCTCCCCCCATCGAAGGGCTAAGAAGTCAAGAGTAAATTGTGAGGCCACCCTTCCCTCCCTGCTCTTTTCTTAGGGCATCTAGACAAGCACCCACCCCGTCCCCTCCACTTGAAGATCTGAATCTGCCACTTCAATAACGTGTCTTCTTTTAATCAGCAATCTGTCACAGAAACTGTTGTAGTAATAAAATGAAAACAGGTTACCTCTTCCTCCTCTTCCTCTTCCTCCTCCTCCTCTGCTTTATCGCCCTGTTCATCAGCATCAGCATCATTGACATCTTGTTGATCTGTGATAAACAAAGACACAATCAAAACTTATTATTACTCATTCAAAACATTTGGAGTTTCTGATTGGTTAAAATACCCTGGCTTACTCTTCATAAGCAGTTGGCGTTGACCAATTTTGGAAAATGCGAGCAATATAGCATTGATTCAGTGGTACATTGCCAAGCAGCCTCATTTACAAGCAAACATACCTTCTATCAACCTCATTTTCAGGCACAGCAGTCTAGTTGTTTATACCCGAGGGAACTAAAAACAATGGCATTCACTGCTATCCACTAAAACTGAACAAAAGAAGTACAAGAACATGCAAAACATATTGCTCAATGGGTGTTATCTACTTTTAGAGGAGTAACTGCAAGATAAAGCGTCTGCTTATAAATTATTCTGAAACTGTGCCAACAAAGAGCCC